AGGACCCCCCCGCCCCGCAGTCTAGACCCTGCAACCCTCTCACTCTATCGAACCAGACACCCCAAAATCTTGCCTCCCCCCCTTCTCTCCCTCCTCTCCTCAGCTCCCATGACCAGCAGACAGACCGTGTGATTCGCATGACCGCCATTTTGCTGCCCACAGTAGACCTAACTGTACAGCGCAGCAGCTGCCTTGATGGGTGGATGCAAATAAGAACGCTGCATTGTTACTCAGCTGCTCGGACGACTCTCATCGCATGAATTAATGGTCTAAAAAAAAAAGCAAGACCCGCTCAAATCAAATGCGACAACAAACCGACACGCTGCTGAAATGCAAAAACGTGAGGTATTAATTTATACAATGTTTCAATCCTTTAACAGTTCAGAGTGTTATTATACCAAGCTATGACAACAGACACGTTGACTATTTTTAGTCATTTTATGCAAGGTACTGTTCCCAAGTCCCAAACAAATGTGAAGCAGGGTAAATATTTCCAAATTTTCCTCTAACTGATGTGTTCATAGGAAATAGTGTTGATACTTCAAAGCTCCAATCCAGTGTTCTTCAGGCTGCAATTTTTATAATGCTGCCTATTTATATGTTTCATGTGCAGCTCTTTTTGAGCAAAATCAGTCCCCCCACAATTTGTTCAGTGCCATGGTAACCAGACACCCACATGCATTAAAATAAGACTATTATGGTCTGTGTCTGCAGTTTGTTGAGCCTATGGATCTCTACTTAATTAGAGTCTGTGTGCATGTCTGAGCTTCTCTGCTTAATGCTTTCATTGGTGCATTATGTGTGTCCGTGTGTAAAAATGGTGTGAGTGTGTGTGTGAGTTACAGAGTGCTATCTGATTTAAAAAAAAAATCACCAGCTTAATCTTTGAACACTGTCACATTTACATGCGAGGGAATCACATGCAAACGTGCACACCATATGGCACAGTAAGTCCAGACTCTTGATCTCACATGTACTGAACACCTATCAAACACATTTCAGGGTGCAAAAACTGCACCCCAAGAGGAGCACAAACACAGAATACACTCTAAAACATCGCTTCACTCCTGCTTGCCCGCCATGATGCCACGTTTATAGGAGCAATTATCAGCACATGCCAACAGCATGATGGTTATGCTAATGCAATTAGCCTCGATTTGCATTCGACAACAGCTAACGGATGCACAGATGGCAGACAACAGAGATGCGCCAGCCATCTTTGGCAGAGGAAAAGACTGGCGGCCATTTTGTCTGAAGCTGTGCCCATCTGGATGAAACCCACACTGCATTACTGTGACGACAGTAGCAGTTTGGGAGCAGCGGGTGCACACTGCTGCTGCTGCTGCTCACTGGCAAACACTCTCAAGGCCAAGCATGTACAGGGCAACAGCTCTCTGCTGTAGATAATATACAGATAGAGAGTGGCTATCTCATGTGACTAAAATGTTCAGATTTGAGGGATGCAAACATTTCTTTAAGCTCAGGAAACAGCACACACACACACACACACACACACACACACACTATTTGAGGCAATATAAGTAAATGAGAGCATATTCAGAGTTGTTCATAGAATGGAACATGTGGAGTGTTAATGAGAGATACTTGCCCTTTGAACATCTCCACATTCCCATTAGGTGGGAAGGTGTCTCTGCTGTGTGATCTTCAGCCCCCTTTTCTGATCAGTCAGTCTGGAATTCAATAATAGACATCATGGTGCAAAAAGATGTTCATTCTGCATGTGCCCGTGTTTCTGGTGCAAACAAACATGTCTACAGCTCACCTCAGAAACAGCAAACCAAGCGTGAAAGAGAAAATAAAGATCGTACTGTCTATTTGTCAAATATAAAAACTGGTTGGGGAATAAACAACGGGTGAGCTAAGGATGGAGACTGAGTCAAAAGCAGAACTTCCAAACTGTTTTTTGAACAGCCAGGGGCAGAATGTGGGGGATGTGTCAATCTTATGTAGGAAAAAAAAACAACAGAAAAGAATATCCCTCTCGGCAGTCTGGGGATTATTTGGGGAGAGCTCCCTTTTAGCAGAACCACACACAGCCAGTGGAAACTGGGACTTGAGGTCCAGTCTGAGGAGCTGGGGCTGCAGCTGAAAGGGCCATGCAGGGCCTGTCCTTTGGAGGTCTGCAGGCCCCTAGGCCACAGACTAACACAGGAAACCCCACTCAGAGCTATGCAGGCTCTGCATTTCATATTGATTTCTCTTGCATGCTGTTAGTTCCAGAGGTGCTTCTAGCCTTCAGGGACCTTCTCCATCCTTCCCAGCCCACTCACTAGCCCCCATCCTGGGCTTAACTGGCTCTGCTGGACCCCTGGATGGAGGTATGGGCCACAGGAGGAGAGGAAGAAGACGAAAGCCCATGGCAATGATGATGAGCTGCGCCAGGTCTTTGAGTTCAGTCATCTACCAGCCTTTATTCAGCCTTCCAACCACCCACCCTTGTTTCAGTCTGAAAAAGGGAAAATAGAGAGTGTTTTTCAGAACCTCACCTTTGGCATTCAGCATCCCTCTGCTCGATGCAAATGCAAATGTAAATACTAACACTTTGATTAAAAATATGTGGGAAGAAAACGCCAACTTGCTCTTTTGTAACCTGCCCCAAGGTTCTCACTGCTACAGAGAAACAAATAAAAATGCTCAACATACTGTATCAAACACGGAAACATTATCATCTCAGTTCATATGTTTCGGTGCTTTCTGGGAATACAAAACACTCACGTTAAAATCATTATACAAACCTATGTTATCAGGAAATATTATTTCTGTTCATTATGTTCTATAATTTTGACCAGGTCTAATGACATGGCATAAATTAAACAATAAGAATTAAACTGATTTTGGTACTAAATGAGTAATTTGTAATAATTGGCATGGGTTTAATCACTCTGGTGCATCTTGAGATTCTTAAAACATTTTGAATCCTGTTATCATACTAAAATACTAAATTCCTTTATTTGTGGCTTTGTGCTTTTCTGTAAGAACCTCCTTCCTACCCTAGAGCCCCTGGCCCGCTTTTCTGTCAAACCCAGTTGCAAAGACACTTTTAGCTCTGTGTGATCTGCTGAAAATTTAATAAGATACAAAAAATAGTGGGTTAAAATGGTCAGTGTCCGTTATGGAATAGTTTGTTTGAATTTGAGTTTGCTGTCAATGTGCATATTTTAAGCCTAATGGGGACTACCCGGAGTAGCCCTTAGCTTGCCCTGTGCGGGGGAGCGATGTGGGGTGAGAGTGGGTGACCCAGAGGAAGATTCAGACACAATACCCCCATTGAGACCCGTTCAGACATGGGTGTTAACTTGCCATTCCTTCACACACAATGAGGTGCCCCACTAGAGCCGGTGTAGGGGACAATGTTGGTTCAGGGCAGCCCTCCACCGAACGACTAAGAAAAGAGCTGCATTATCAAGATGGCGGAAGAGGGAGGGATTGGGGGGGGGGGAGACAGACCAGAGATATGTTTGTGTGTGAAGAAGGAGGGAGGACAGCGGAGGAGAGAGGAGCCCTGCGACCTGTGGCTTTGGACACAAGGAGCAAAAAGGACATTGACAAACTCATTGCAGCAGCATGAGGCACACTGCAGACGAAGAGTTATGTCTGCGTCTCTGTCTGCTTAGCTTGGTTTTACATGTGTTGCCCAACTTGTTATGCTTATTGGCTAATTTTAACAGCTAACCATTTATCTTAGGGATGGCAGTTGAAAACGTACCAATTTGCTACTGGCATATTTACAGTGATGTGTAAATATAAGTCAAACAAAACAAAAGTACAGATGGTTAACCAACCATAACCATATGAAGCAGGCATTAAGGCTTTAATTACTGTTCAGACAATAAAGAAATATTTATAAACTACTCATATTTTGTAGACTTGAATTTTACCAAGAAGAACTACTTCCATAGTCTCATTGTAAGATACTTAATCAACAACCATGTTCAGCTTCTGTGTCTGATCATTAATATGTAGAATAAGGTGTCAATTTTTAATAATACAGTGCATTTAGATGAACCACACCCATAACATGTTTGTTGCTTTCCTAAAATGTCTTGTTTGTATATTTGAAGAAAATGTTTTTCAGTAAATAAAACTACATGGACTACAGAGTTTTACTAAAACACGTGCCAACTACAGTATATACCTGGAGTCTAGACTCTATATTGAGCTTAAGTGAGTATCTTTCAGAAATAGCCAGGGAAACACCCACAGATTCTATAAAAATATTAAATGAGTTCAAATAATTATGGAGGAAGAGCTTTGCCACAAAATCGCTGCCCTGCATCAATTGTTAACTGTTAGCATGCCTACCTTATAAAATAACATACACTACTAAGTATCTGTGTAAATGCTTACACTATCACAGTAAATAAAGGCAATATACCAAGAAGAATCCTCTCGAAAAACCTGACATGTAGGATGACAGGTTAGCAGCAGAAAACAAATGAAATACCAAAATGCACTGGTACCTTGCACAGTTCAAAGGTTTCACAGAAGTACATGTACAGGGTAAAGTTATGCATTTGATACACAGAATATGCATGAAATGACAGATATGGGAATTTATCAGCAGACTTTAACAGCATTATGTTTGCAGAGAGCAGAATCCACATCCTCCAATGACTTCAGCATTTGTTAAACATCTTTAGTGTTCCCCCAAAGACCATATAACAAGCATTTGCTTGTTCACAGCTGCTTGTTATACTCTTACACTCTGTGGTTGTAAAAAAAATACTGTTTTGGTCGGTTTGGGAGTGAAGCTGACAGCATTAACAAGCTGTTGGTAATGTAAGTGTATGTGCTTTTATTCTACTCTCTTTTTCCAAACAGGTAAAATCTCCTCTGGCAAAACAAAGGGGTGTCTACTTGAAATGCGTAAAGGAAACTATCAGTTTGGCTGTATAGGTGGTGGTGGGGGGTAATAGGTGTAGCTGGAAAATGTTTATGGAGATCCTGTGTCTCTCTGGGAGCCTAATAGAATCCTGTAGCTGGAGTGCGAGCTCATTGTGGTGGCGTAAAGGATTACACACAAACCATTGAACAATGAGAGCGGAGAGTATACACTACTGCAAGCTGACTCATTTCATCAGCAGAAAAGAGACCTGGCAATAAGAAGAAAGCAGTGAGAGGGAGAATATAGAGGAATAAATTGGCGAGTTCTTATACATGCATGTGCACAGGCAGAAAGAAAAAATCACTAGAAATGGACAAAAGAACAGGAAAAGAAGAAGAGCAGAGAAGGCTGCATGGATGACAGGTTCAGTAGCAGAGAGTAATATGGGCAAATGATGTCTGTCTTGCTTGTCTGTCTGCATCCTGAGTGACACTTTACAATCTCTGAGGCAGCAGGCAGACGCAGCAGGTTGGCTCTTTGGCTTCATACAATCCCTCATCTCCCAACCTATTTTTCTCTCTCTCTCTCCATCTAACCTCCACCTCTGGTTCTCGTCTGTTTCCTGCTACCTCTAATCTCCCTCGCTCTTCGACCACAACCACCTACATCTACATTTTGTCTACGTTTTAATACTGTATCTTGTCTTTTATCTCACTGTTCACAGTTAATCACCAATAATAATAATAAAATAATGTAACAACTATTATATTACATAAAACTTTAGCTGTGCAGTAATGATTTCTAATAGGCCATCTTTTTTTTGTGAGCTAGCTGCTCATTTTTTACCTCTTTACTCATAACCACAAATAACGAACTGGCTTTAACTCTCTAGTTTTGTATTCATCAGAAAACTGCTATCTGAGCTTCCAAACATGTATTAGAGCTGAGATCCACGCTAAACCGGTAGATGAATTTTGAGCTAATATTTCTAGCTTCATTTTTGCTTTACCATTTGTTGAGAATGAATCAGTGAAGGGTTTTTGGAGTCACTATAAATTTCTGAGGCGAGGAAAATCCCCCATACGTCTGATGAGCTTGATGACCCCTGTATATTTCCCACAGTTTTCACAGACAACAAGCAAGTATGGCATTATTCTCATCTCATCTTCTGCTCAAATGGAAACCACACTGAGCATAATGCATCATCTGCATTCTGCAACCTGCCTGGTTGAAAGACTCTGCTCTGCTCCTTCCCTCTCTTCATCTCCTTCAAAGGCTGCCGAGGGTGTATTCAAACAGCAGGATACACACTCAGCTAACAAACCTCATTAAGGGCCCATACACACGTTCTCATTGCTAACACTAGTTGTCACACATCCCCTCTCAATGCACACACTGGTGGCCATACTGACCGCAACAAAGCATCTTTACAGAGCTAATTAGAAGGGTCCCCCTCTTTATTTGAAACTCATCTGAATAGGAGGGAACATGATAACAAGGACAGGAGAAAACGATAGATAGGGACAGGCGGGAGAAAGGAGGGAAAGGGAGTTGGTGCAAGAGAGAGAAAGACAAAAGAGGATGCTTGCTCGCTCAAAGAGATGGCAGGCGTGTCTTTCACAGTGTGGAATTCAAGCTCGAAGCTCAGGTAGGTAGGGGGAAATGAATTAGTGTGACACCGCACTGTGTATCTCAGATGCAGCCATGGAGAGCAGCGGGGAGGGAACTGAGCACTGCACTGATTTGATTGGTGTGCCAGTATCTAGAGAGAGATAGAGGTGAAGGAATGGGTGTGACACGAGCTTCGTGGGGAAGGCGGTAAAAGAGCAGCTGCTGACATGGGCGGCATTTCAGAAAGCAGCATGAGAAACATTGCTCTTAAAAATGAATGAGCATTTAAACTTGGACAAACAAGATGCCAAATGTGGAAGTCGGGGAAGCAGTTGAACACTAGCAAATAAACTCAATAAATATGTGATGCTTTTGTTTGCCTTAGCTTTTCTTTTCATGCTAGATATTATCAGTTCTTCGTCTCTGTCTAAAATATTGTCACTCTCTTTTATTTAGAAAAAGGTCACACTAAGAGTTCAGTTCCAAAACATTCCTATATAGTTGCCATATCTTCTTCCAACCCCTCTCCATTTCATGTTAAAATGTTTCTTTTGTGTGTCCCCGAAGCAAGCTATGTGTGTGTCTGTCTGTGTCTGTGTGAGTGCAGACACAGACAATGCCAAGTTGACAGCAAGGGTCTCGGATCAAGCACAAGGCCAAGTTTGTCTCTGCAGACTGAGTGAATTGACACATCATCAACTGCAGAAGCAAAATATTTTTCTAAAATATTTGCACCATAGGAAAAAAGGTACAAAATAGATGTACTTCAAAAACAAATTTGAAAGTGATTTTTTTAAAAATGAAACAAAAAACCAGAACGCATTATTAAGCCATCTTAAAATGGAAAAAGGAAGACAGAAAACAAATCTGGACTCAATTCACAACAGAATTTTAAGTTCAAGTTGAAGTTATGCCCTAATTGTTGTCCCATTGTTGGCCCCTGATGAGAGCAAAGCTTTCTGGAAGAATAGCAGGTGTCCCCTTGTCGCAGAGTTTCCCAGACAGCTTGTTAATTTGTACAACTTTTACACACAAAATTTTCCTTTTATGTGTGTGTGCATGTGTGTGTATGTATGTGTGTATATATTAGCGATGGGACTTGACCCTAGCGAGCTGCGGCACTGTTTTGCGTCTTGCTGGGCGTGGGAAAAAGACGGGACCCCTTTTCACAGTTGCCTCGGCTGAGGCCTGGACTGCTGGGGGCCCCCTGCACCCCCTCCGCATACACACCCGTTCCCCCTTGTCCGACCCCCCACCCCCCCACGTCCTTCTATCCCATTCAGGCTTCGGACTACTGGCTTTCAAAAGCAAGACCTCCTTCTCAGCCCTTCATAAATACATCTCATTATTCAAGAACTAGTTTGCATAGGGATTCCAAAGAGATCGCCACTCTGCTCGTGAGGCCTGAAGCCCCTCAGCCTTTTGGACTGCACAAGTGCAAATTTCGACTTAGTAATCTCCCTGTGTTAATATTTGTTTTAAAACGGTGTGTGCACACTTGCAAAACTATTTTGCCAGTATTGCACATGTCTTGAAATTTCTGTTTGGTGCATGTTATTTTTAAAAATTCCACTTTTTTTTAGAAATGTGGTAGAAAGTCTAGAGAAACTACAATCAGTGAAAAGAGAGTTTAGCATGACTATTAGCAAGTGCTTTGCTAGTCTGTATTCCATCTGTCACTGGCTATTGTACAGTATTATACACACACACACACACACACACACATACACACACATACACACTCTTCAACACCTCTACAACAGCCCCCACCCCACCCCATTCTCTGCAATGCATTACTGCAGAGATTTATCTCCTATCAGCCTTTATAATACTGAGGTTATAATTTACATCCACTTTAGAAAACAGCAGCACAGGCTGCTCCTTGCATATGCTAATATAAAGCTTGGGAAAATCTGGGCGACTCAAAGAGCTCCACACTAAATTTGAATAACTGAGCTGTCTATTGAGCCTCAGGGCCGTGGAACCATGAAGACTTGACCTTGCTAACAATATGTACTTATTGTTTAATTCCTAATGCTCAACTATTTAAGGGGGAATCGGAGGGAACAAACAGTCAACCTTAAACCTGGGAATGTTTCTGCTCCAGTCTTCCTGAAATAA